TGACAAACATATACGAGTTGTCATTCTGTCATTAGATGTTTAGAGCATTTGCTCGTCAAAACACACATTCACACCTGTTTTGTATATAAGGGTGTGCTTTTGGAATAATATTTTTCGAAATAAATCAACGCTTTGTTCAGACAATTACTCTGTACTTGGTGTGTAGTCATGCCTTGTCATGTGCCATAAGTTATAGGGCGCCGAATTGTTCGACTGCACAGAAATGGTATGAAGCAAAAGGACATTCTTAGACCAGTAGGGTACCCCCAATGTCCTGTATTGAGAATCCTGAAACGTCATAGGACTACAGGAAACGTTGTTCCAGGAAAGTGTACTGGTAGATGCTGAAAAATTACTGCCCGAGATGACCGTGTTTTGATCTAAAGAAGTCTTGCAACGCTTTACGACAGGAATAGCATGAACACATTCATTCCAGGGTATTCAGAAGAACATTGAATAGGAGATTGACCAAACAAGTTCATTTAGCAAGAAGAACTACTTGCTAACAGATAGTGTCTAGAATTCACCGTTGTCACCGTGTTACTTGGGCAAGGCAGCATGACAACTAACAGTAGGACACTGGCGACATGTCATCTTTTCAGATTAGTACTGTTTCTGGCTTTTTAAAGCTGATGGTAGGATTTGTGTTCGTTTTTTACCCGGGAAACAGAAAAGGGAAGGCTGTCTTTCTCACAGGGAACACACAGGAGGTAGTGCAGTACATGTTTTGGCAGCTATTCATCATGGTGGAAAAACTGCTTTCAGGGAAACTTCAATGACGCCTCCAACAGGCATCACACGGAGGTGATATTTTAACCATATGCTAGGGCAGTGGTTCCCAACCTGGGGTCCGCGAAGGTAATACCATCTCATTAAACAAGTAGGTTTTTAATACTGCTGTTTTTTTTAATTGCACTCTCAGTTATATATGTCTTTTATTTGATAATGAAAAATGGGAAAACGAGTTAATTATTAGTTAATAAGAAGTTTTTTGGGTAGACAGGATCTTTCAAAAACATGGGGTCCATGGGGAACAAAATAACAGTAAAAGAGGCCCTCGGTGGTGAAAAGGTTGGGAACCACTGTACTAGTGCAAGGTTTGGAAATAACTTTGTGTTCCAGGATGACAATGCCACTGCCCACAGTGCATGTAGTGTACAGGATTATCTCGACCAAGAGAACGTTACAAGATTACCATGGCCAACAAAGTCTTCAGATTGTTAGGCAGAATTGAGCCGGAAAATTGCTAGCCACGACCATAAACCAGCTACTTTAACTGTGTTGCAGCGCCTTCTAGTGAAAAGTTGGGATGAAATTACAGTGGATTACATCAATAACCTCATCGACAGCTACGTCGCCTTGCGGAGGTTATTAGAATACATGGTTTGTTTGTTTTTTAATTTCGCGCAAAGCTACACGAGGGCTATCTGCGCTAGCTGTCCCTAATTTAGCAGTGTAAGACTATAGGAAAGGCAGCTAGTCATCACCACCCACCGCCAACTCTTGGGCTACTCTTTTACCAACGAATAGTGGGATTGACCGTCACATTATAACGCCCCCACGGTTGAAAGGGCGAGCATGTTTGGTGTGACAGGGATTCGAACCCGCGACCCTCAGATTGCGAGTCGAGTGCCTTAACCACCTGGCCATGCCGGGCCCCAGAATACACGGAGAACCAACTAAGTACTGAATGTTTAATATGAACTGATATAAGGTTACAGACACTATTTATAATAATTTGATGTTATATTTTGTCGGTATATATGTTTTGGTAAGGTTTTGTTGTGATAGGTGAAATTCTGAATTACACATCTTTCTACATGTGTCTGATAAAATTGTTTGCCATTCTAATGAATCGTTCATGATGTCCATGTATTTCTCAGTTTGGCATCGTAAATTGTATTTGTATTTCAACTTAAAAATAATGATCTTATTTGTTACAAAATTTGCAAACATTTTGACCAAGACTGTATTTCCAATTTTGTGTCTGTTTTTCTCTTTATACATTTCTACGAATGTTAAATAATTCAGTAGAGGTAACTTTAAGCTTCAGTTTCGTTTCCACAAAGAATAGAAATCCTGGTTGAATGGATCTGATATGTCCTGGTAATTAGGACACTTGACTCAAAACACTGCAGGTAGCGAGGTCAAATCCTGTCAATGAACATGCTCGCTCTTGCAGCCCTTGTGGCGTTACATTGTGACAGTCAATGTCACTTTTCGTTTGTAAAAGAGTAGTCTTTCCTTTAGTCTATCACTTCTGATTAGAGACGTCTAGCGAGTAGTTTTGCGCGAAATTCAACAAATAAACAAACAAATTATTTTTAAACATTTCACGTAGAAACAGAAAGTCATATTGAAGTTTTTCTTTAAGTTATACTTGTAATTTAATTTTATTAGTTATCATATTTTAAAATATTATATTTTAAATCCATTTGATTTGTAATTACATTGAAATATTTTCGATGAATAGCAATACGTGTTTGATGACATTTAGGTATATCAGAATTGTGACTCAAATCTGACAAGTCTGTGTTATTGTAGATAATAGATCGTTAATACAGTTTAGCCAAAAAAATAGTTGGCTCAGTACAGTATAAACCTTTTCTTATTATTTTTTGAGTTGTAAATCTGAATCAACTGTTATTCACACAGTCAACTAACTAACAGAACACCCAGTGGTCGGAACACTATTTATATAAACCATTTGATACAATAACAATTGTTATGGTGTGTACACCTTTTACAAGCCGGCGAAGAATGATTACAATTATACTTGTCATAAGGCATTAGTGCTTTTGTATCCCAACCGGCCTAATGAGCTCTGGACTGAGCGAAATGCGTCGTCGGCAATATAATGTGGTTGGAATACTATTATTATACACTCTTCTAATACTTGTAAATCCCTAAGGGACTAGATTAAGAATGTAGTGTTTAAAATGTCTTAGTCCTAATACTAATGTCTCATTACAAATATAATTGTTGTGTTTAATTGTTTTTCATGTGCTATAGAGATAATTCTAATAAACATCCTTCTTGTTGTTTTTTTTTATAATTATATTGTTATGATACTGAAGATAATCTTAACACATTGTTAACCGATATTGTTGATAACACTAAAATGTCTATATATCGTTTTATAAAAATGATAAAACTAAAAAAAAGTCTTATTTTATTACATTACAGCTTTTACAGTAAAGACCATTATTTTTTAAAACAGGTATGACGCTTCGGTCAGTGGTGCGATCATTCTCTAGTACACAAGTTTTAACGATAAGCCTTCAACATAATAAGCTTATTTAGACGTAACGTTGTAACGGCATAAAGTAACACGCCGCTACGACCAGGGTTCAATAAAAAAAAACAATTTATTAAACTGTAGAAACACTTGAAACAGAATGTAGCACTTACCAAAAATACAGTTAATAAACACGTGCCTGACCAGGACTTGATACTAATGTTAATAATACTAATGTTAACACAAATATCATTATTAATTATTGCAAATAATGGAATCAGGAAAAAGAACAAGAAGAAGAAGAAAAAAACCTAATTCCAAATAAAAACAACACGATATTCCAAAATCACTTTTCTATATTAATAACAATATCAAGTGACAAACAGCAATAATTCGCTAACTATATCATTCACTAACTATCTCGTGACTCAGTTTATGAAGCTTATGGCAGGGTATTTATTCACACCGTTAAATCCCGAGAGTACATCTTATGTGATAATAAATTTACATAACCTTTTGCTACATTAATAATATCTGTACGTCACCTCTATGGAAGCTGGTGTCAGTTTCATAATCTGTTTTATAAAGGAAAGTGTGTGTGTCCGGGAAAGAATAAATATGTTCCTTATACGTTCCCACATTTCTTGATCAATCAGCATAAACTTGACACAGTGATATAGAATGACATGTGAAAGGTGATGAATGGGGCTGGAGTTGGACCCCTCCCCCATCTAATTTCTAAAACTACCAAATCAGCACAACTTAACACAGTGATACAGAATGACACGAGAAAGGTCATGAGGGGGGGGGTGGACCCCCCATCTAATTTCATGTTAATATAATTCTTGAAAATATTATTTCTTTCTTTTCTGTATTGGAACCTTTATGTATTTTTATTGCAATTTTAATGTTTATTATACTAAGGAAAAAAAAATAGAAGCACAATCTCCGATCCTTTGTTACAAACGAGTTTTTATTTCACCCGTTTAGCTGGTACATACATATTTACTCAAAATAAACGTGATAAGTTAGAAGGTAAGTTAACGTTTTAAATTTAACTAAAAATTCATAGATAAACTAAACGATAGAAGGAATAATAAATGGACAGTAAACAAAACCACAACTAAAAAATAATAATATAATTCGCTATCTCACAACGTTTATATTTTTTATTTACATTGACTTCATTGCTAGTTACTGAAAACCGTGTAGTTACATTGAGTATTCAGTCAACAAAGATTAAAACCGTTAAAACTCGTGTACTTGAGAATGATCACACCGGTGATCGAAACGTCGTATGTTTTGCTTGTTTTGAATTTCGCGCAAAACTACACGAGGGCTATCTGCGCTAGCCGTCCCTAATTTAGCAATGTAAGACTAGAGGGGAGGCAGCTAGTCATCACCACCCACCGCCAACTCTTGGGCTATTCTTTTACAAACGAACAGTGGGATTGGTCGTCACATTATAACGACCCACGGATGAAAGGGCGAGCATGTTTGGTGGGACGATTGAAACGTTCTAAATATATTCTTTACCACTGTAAAACTTGTAACGTGTAATAAAATAATATTAATCAGTAAATAAACTCAAAACGAAACTATTAAAAAAGTCTTGCTGTAAATTATTTCTTTTAAATAATATTCGTAAGACACTGACAGTTTCGATAAAATTTATTCATTCCCGATGATAAGTTTTGTGTGGTCTGTTTCGTCTGGGTGATAATTATTTGTTTAGGTCGTGTGTTTTTGTTTTTTTTTTCAGGCGATATTGTTACGTCACTACCTTCAGGTGCATCAGTCAACGTGACATGGCATCTCGCCTATCCTCACAAGGTAATGTTTTATTTATATAAACATTTATTATTTACCCAAAGTTAAAGAGACAGAAGTTAAATTAACGCAAAGATTCAAAGTGGGTTATCTGCTCTGTGTTTCTCGCGGGTATCGAACCCCGAATTATAGTGTTAGATTAGAAATAAGAGAAAATATTTAGTGCCAACATAGTTTGGAGTTTTATTTAATCAGTAGAGTTTCCAAGACACGGGAAATAAAATCTTTTGAGATTCGTAATTGCTTCCTTCAAGAATATATCCCCACCCCCTCCTGTGTGTGTGTGTGTTCAGTCACGTTAAAAATATTTTACTTGGTATGTCTTCGGACTTACAGTGCTAGAAATTGGGTTTCGATACCCATGGTGGGCAAAGCACAGATAGCCAACTGTGTAGCTTTATGCTTAATTACAAACAAACAAATAAAATTTGTATGTCTTCTGAAAATTGGTCTGAAGCAAGCAGTATACACACAGAGTAACCCTAAAACTAAATATTTGTGTAACTTTTATCCACTTAAATGTTTATATATAGTTCTCATCTATATTTAAATCCAAATACAGTTATAAGTATCGTAATTTTGGTCCCCGTATGTTCTTTGCCGACCCCTCCAGCCTTAAAATATCACTAGTTGGTCAGACAAGAGTTAGCTGTAGGTGCTGCTGAGGAGCTGTCTTACCTTTAGTCTGTCAGTTCAAAATAAGGGACATCTATTCACAGATAACCCTTCAATTGCCTTGTGCAAAAATTCTAAAACAAATCAACCAGATTGCAAAGTTAAAAGACAAACATTTCATAAACTAGCCAGTTTCTCATCATGAATACGACGCATATATAACTTAAATTCAACCTGCTCTATATTCTCTACGGCTAGAAAGGTCAGAGAAGTAATTTCACAGCATGATGCGACGCGCATATATATATATATATATAATTTGAATTCAACCTGCTCTATATTCTCTAAGGCTGGAAAGGTCAGGGAAGTAATTTCACAGCATGATGCAACACATATATATAATTTAAATTCAACCTGCTCTATATTCTCTAAAGCTAGAAAGGTCAGAGAAGTAATTTCACAACAATGAATGCGACACATATATAATTTAAATTCAACCTGCTCTATATTCTCTAAGGCTGGAAAGGTCAAGGAAGTAATTTCACAACATGATGCAACACATATATAATTTAAATTCAACCTGCTCTATATTCTCTAAGGCTGGAAAGGTCAGGGAAGTAATTTCACAACAATGAATGCGACACATATATAACTTAAATTCACCTTGGTGTATATTCTAGACTCTCACACTTAAAGCACACCCACAGTCCCAAAGTGTGGAGCGCGAATTTACGGCAGTGTGACGTTAACCACTAGATCACGCCTGTCCCATCTATTTTACATAAACAATTCTACAGATCAATAATTTTGCTATATTTTTATTTGTTTTTGAATAAATAAACTTTTATACGTTGTTTTTGAATCTTAAACACTGGGCCTTTTATAGTCTGTGGAGTGGAAAATACAAATTTTTTCAGCCATGACTATTTACATAATTATTATAATGTTGTTTTCATTGGTGAGAACAGGACCTACTCTAAATTTCTAATCACATCTTTGCATTGGAAAGAAAAACTTGCTATATTGGACAGATTGACTGATCTTTATGTGCCTAACGATGCCTTGTGTGGAAACGATCTAATGGTGATGACTAGTTTTGAAAAGTTATGCAAAGTTGACCTCCAATAGAACCAATTAAATTTTGTCAAGTTCATAAGGGAGAGATGATCCAAATACCCTTATGGCCCCGCATGGCCAGGTGGTTAGAGCACTCCACTCGCAATCTGCGAATCCCCGTCACACCGAACCCGGTGTCCGAACTAGGACTCAAGTCTTACTCCCGGATACTCACCTCCAACAGAATTTGGAGGTGTGAGAAACACCTTACGAAACAAACAAAACAAATAATCCAAATACACTCAGAAACATGTATTTTCCCCTGTATACCAGACTTTTCAGACCTCGTGGAAAGAACTGACTGATCCATGTTTCTATTATAAAACCATACTACATGCGTGTCCCCTCACTATTCCAACGACGAGAAAATACCATACTTACATTGCAGTAATACTGAAAATTGTATTCATCAGTAATTTACTCATAGTCACTGGTCATTATGGCAGTCGTGACATTTATATTGCAGACAGAATAACCCTGATGCCCCAGCTACAGAAACTGACCCCCCCACACACACACACAAATGTAAAAATCATTTTTATGCCGCTGACCTCCCTTATATACACTGAGTGGTCACAAGTAAATAGACACCTAATTTTTCGTCATTTAACTGATTAATGCTAACTAATTTGTGTTCACAGAGCAATATATAAATGAAAATGGTCCGCACACTAATTATCTTGTGCTACAACATACCTGGAACTCAAGGTTCTCTCGAATTGTCAGATTTTGTTAGAGGAAGGATAGTTGGACAAGCAGATGGTGGAATAAGTCAGCGGCAAATTTCGCAG